GATAAAAAATAATTGTTACATTTAATATTTATCACATATATTCCTGTTCATTTTAAAGTAATAAAGATAAAGCTATTGAATTAAAAATAACATTAAGTTTTATATAAACTTATTCACTTACCAAACCAATCATCTAAACCTTTACCAAAAGAGCCAGTAAATTTTGCAACTCTTAGAAGCTGACTGTCGTGACTTACAGTGGAGCTTCTGCTTAAGATTTCGGGTAGTGGCTCAAATGTTACTTTGTCGTCCGACAAATTAGAAGGTTGCATAACAACAGCAGATAATGGTGGAAATATTGTAAATTCTGAAGTATTTTCATGCTGTGAATTATTGCTTGTTTGGTATGATGCAGCAATACCATTTTGTTTCCCTAAAACCTGAAATAATAATAAGAATCTAATGTACTTACTTGGAAATTAAGATTTAATTACAAATCAATAAAAGTTTCAGAAATTTAGTTTGTTATACCATTATTATTATTAAACATTTATCTCTAATCAAATAATCCATGTATAATTTATACAGCATTTTAAATATTTATCTAGTTTATTGATTTTATTGTTAATATAAAATTTTAACATAGTATCAAATCATTAAGTTTAGAAAGTTGTCATTGAAAAGTCAAATTCTTTATTACATTAACATTCTTAGGCTATGCATACACGGTTGACACACAGTACGTGCCATCAGTTTGTGTACAAACAGGACAGACGCATTGCCAAGAAAACTGATATATATTTGAGCAGTTTTACATCATGGATGCTATAGAAGTGTTTTTTTTATGCCCTTGTAGCCTGTGGAAAACAGGTCATTAAAACTGCACAAAATGAGACCACTGTTGCCAACCATTTCTAAACAATGTCCCTACAATAGAACAATAGACTCTTAGTCACACACACACAGCCTTAAACTTCTTTATTTCTATCTTTAAAAATTAATATTTTCTACACTGGAGAAATTGTAAGAACTTCAGCGCTTTGAAAATAGCTTCTTGAGAAGCTGAAGAATTCTGTCTTTTATATTATTATTATTATGTTGTGAATGTCATACTCAGCTGACACTGATGCCAAGTGCTATGCAAGGCTAAAGTCAAAGCATAGCTACCCACACAAGTGTAACATTAGGCTTTGTCATTGGTGTGTGTCAACATCTAGAAACTTCCTAACAATGTAACATGTTCAAAATTGCAGCTTTCTGTAGTGCCATGTATATGTTTTTATTAAGATTTAATATTTCTAGACTTTTGTATAGTGTATATGGATAACACCAGTAGAAAAGAGAATAACAGGTACAATAAATACCTTATCCATCATCCACATCTGTCTTATTTCTTGAGCAAGTGGCATGTACTTGTTGATTTTTTTCAGTGTGAGCATTTTTTTTTATCTTTTGAGTGTTTGGAATGGAGATGTCTATTATATAAGCAATCTTACTGCATTTGTCAATGAGAGTGATGTCAGGTCTATCGTGATGAATTGTTTCATCTGTGATTATGGCTCTGTTGTAGTATATTTTGTGTGTATCATTTTCTAATACTGTCTGTGGAGTATAATTGCAGTATGGTACCTGAATGTTTAATAATCTGTGCTTCTGTGCAAGCTCTTGATGTATTATATTTGCTACTTGATTATGCCTATATAAATAGTCTGTCTAAGTGCTTGCAACTAGAAATTATTTGTTGTATTGTTTCTTGCAGAATATGGCATTTTCTGCAAGTTATTTGTAAGTGATGTATCTTTTGGGATGTGTTTTGTGTAGTTTTTAGTGTTTATGACCTGATCTTGAATCGCAATTCAAACATGCAGCCTCTAGTCAGCCAGTAGTTTGATGCAGTTTTGTCAACATGGTTCTGAGTTAGGTCATAGGCATGCTTGCCATGGTGTGAAGTGCCTTTTGGACCCAATGTTTTTTGTGTTGAGCTATGTCCAGGTGCACAGAGTGTAAGTTTAAAGGTGTGTAGTTACTGTCTACCATAGTTATAGCTTTATGTAATCTTAATGTTTCTTGTGGAAAAACTCCCAGTGTCTTATTATCATCATAGCCTACCTCAGGCATGGACGACAGTTTTTGCCCCCAGGCCAAATTGGAAAGAAAACTTTTTTCACAGGTCAAATGAAATATTAAAATTAAAAATGTTAAAAACAAAAACAATTCATTTAAGTAAACAACATTTTTATAGAATTTGTTTATGAATAAATGTAAGTAATTTAGTACAACAAATTGACAAAAAAAACGAATGTGACATATATAGGCAAAGTACTGTACCTAATATTAGACACTTTGCATCGCCTATTATTTTCTTAATATCTGGCTCTGTACTTGTAGTAGCTATTCTTAACACAGCTTTCAAATGTAAATCATTCAATCTTGATCTTGTTGTACTTTTATTTAGATTCATTAAAGAAAAAGTTTGTTCACAAATATAAGTAAAGCTTAAGATTACTAAATATTTTTTGCCAAGTTTTTTTAAATTTCGATATTTTCCATTATTCAATTGCTTATAAAAATTGCAAAATTTTTTCTTGCTCTTCACAATATTTCTCATGTAATAATTCATCACATTGTAAATTAATTATTTCTAATTGTATATCAACAGGAACGTCATCTCCATGTAAAGAAAATGGATTTTGGATAATAGATAAAATTTTATCAATTTTCTTGAAGCAATCGAATCACTGCTCGAAATCTGTCATTAGTGCAAGGATATTGTTATTAAATTCTTGAAACTCTTGAAATATTTAAAGATATGGTCTCTAATGTTGGAAAATGATCAAATTTCTAGAAAAAAGGCTAAGCTTCATTTGTAAAGATTTTAACCTTTGTATTAAATCAAGAACATATAAATTTTCATGTTAAATTCTTTAAAATGTGTGAAAATATCCAAAGAAAATGCTAAATCACAAATCCAATTTGGGTCTGATAATTCAGGAAAATCCTCATTTTCTTTAAGCATTAGAAATATTTTTATTTTTTCTTGAAGATCCCACACATATCTTAAAACTTACAAAGCTTAACCAACAGATTTTATTGTGATATAGTACATCTAAATAACTGGTTTTTAGTTCTTCAAGGAATGCAATAAATTGCCTGTTTTTTAATTCTTTTGATCAAAGGAAATTTACTAATTCCACAATATGATTGATTTTTAAAACATTTTTGCAATGAATAATGCAATGAGTGGGTATAATTTTATGATTTGGATCAATTTCAGAAATTTTGTCTTCAATTTGTTTTATGAGACCAATATTTTTTCCAATCATACTTGGTGATCCATCTGTTGTTACATTCACCAATTTTTTCCAGTCAATACTGTATTTCAAAATACATTCTTCAATCTTTCGGAAAAGATCTCCCTTTGTTGTGTCTTTCATAGGAACAATTGACAAAAGTTCTTCAGAAATTTGAAAATCTTCAATGTTAGCTCTGATAAAAATTAATAACTGAGCTGTATCCTTTACATCACAACTTTTGTCAAGAGCTATTGAATAAAAATGGACCGATTCTAAATCATTCAGTAACTGCTCATTTAAATTAGTATTCATATCTTCTATTCTTCGGGCAATAGTTTGCCAAGACAGACTTATATTTTCAAATTTATGTTTAGCTTCTGGACACATTACATCACAAACATCCAACATGCACTTTTTTACAAATTCTCTTTCAGCAAAAGGTCTCCCACATTGAGCAATCTGCTTTGCTACTAGCAAACTTGCTTCAGTAGCAGATTCTTGTAATTGATTTTGCTGTGTAATTATATTTTGCTGCTGGGTCAATTTTACTGAGGTCTACAGCTTGTTTTTTTGGCTTTCTCCATTTAAATTTTGTGCATAAGTTGCATATTTCGTTTCAAAATGTCTTCTCAAAAGTTGTATTCTTTTAAAATGACTACACTCAAATTGCAAATAAGACAAACCACCTTATTATTGTACATAGTAAAAAAATATTTCTACTGCCATTCATCATTAAATATACAGCATTCAAGATCAATTTTCTGTTTTTTGAAAGCCATTCCAAGTGAAAAAGTTTTCTAATATACAATATTTTAATTAAAATATAATTACATAACATATAAATATTCAAACTGTATCACAATCAATTGAAACAATATTTAATTTATAGAATGAGTTTGAAAGGATTGTATCGCAAATAAAACAATTATTTTGTTTTACAAACAGCCTGGACATGTTTTCAGTCATCAACTGCCACAATGTCACTTGATTCATGCACACTTAACTACAAAAATAACAAATTGCTTGGCCTTGGGTGCGCACTGGCAAACTGCGCTTAAAAGAGTGGGGTTTCACATCACCGCTAAACGTCAAACAGTTTCATATCAAGTACAGACAATGTGGGTTGTTTTTAAATAATAACAATTTTTATGGTTAAAAAAAATCGTACTCCTAGAACCTATTTCTGGTGTGATGAAAAACATAAAAGAAAAAGTTCACCACAAACGTTTTCGAACTGCTGTGAGTTCTTCTTCAGGTGAGAAAGGGAGTTTCTGATGGGACAGAGCAATCAGTTAACGTATATTAAGCGACAGGTTAACCGATCGCTCCATCCCATCAGAAACTCCTTTTTTTACCTGAGGAAGAACTTACAGCAGTTTGAAAACGTTTGTGGTGAACTTTTTCTTTCGTTTTTCCATCACACCAGAAATAGGTTCTAGAAGTATGATTTTTTAACACATCCCGGTGTTAATGTGGTTGTTAATTTTTATGGTTTATAAAATTAGGCATTTATTAACATTAATTTAAATTTAAAATGATTGTGAATCTTAAAATAATTATATATCTTGAAATAATTAAGTCTTTAAAATACAGTAGAGCGTCGTTTATTCGAAAGAATTCCAGTCAGCAAATTTAATTTTCACTAGTGCTGTGGTGCTGCAATCTTTGGCTATATCTTGGGCTACTCAAATATTTTACATTTTTGATACTAAATTAACTTCTGAAGTATAATCTTTTATTGTTTTTATATTTTTCAATATATTAATTTTGTTTGTACAAAATAAAAAAATAATTTTTAACGATACAATAGTCTTCGTTAGGCTTAACATCAACAAAAATTCAACGCAAAGCGACACGCAACGGAGAAAAATTTCAACACGGGATAGGTTAATGTATTTTTTCATACATAATTG